ATGCAGTTAATATAAGTTAGTATGTTCGTATTTAAAACAATTCGATTATTATTATTATTATAAATTTAAATTATAATCTACATTTCTAAAGTAATTAACCAGATCATAAAAGTCAATTATATTACTTTATATTGATATTGCTTTATAATTATTATTTCTATTTAATATGCTTTTTTCAAAAAAATAACTATTGTTTTCATTCAATTCATTCTAATTAATATATTAAAAGATAATTCTAGAAACTTGGTTTTTTATTAAATAACATTTATCATTTATAAAATATATATATGGGTATAACTTTTTATATTCCTCATTATTCTTTATATCTCCTGGTTTGTATTTACTTTGATTTATTATCCCATGTGATCAAATACTCTCCGTCATTACTCATTGTTCCATATAAAGAATTAATTCCAAAATGAATAGATTATTCAATTAAAAACTCTCCATTTTATTTTTTCCTAATCAAATTAACATATTATCCATTCTTACTTACAAGAATACTTTTTTAATTAATATATTACAAAGGAAATCTTTCATTGATGTCTGATCCACTTTTTATCGGAATATCTCTAGTTTTGGTAAATTATTTATTGTTATTATTCATCTCATAAACAGATATCTATTCTTAACTTTTTGGTGAAAATGTGAACATATTATTATCAATAAAGCATATTCGATATCCATAATTATCAATAATCTTTTATATTACTTTCCATTCTTTATTCTATTCTGATTATTCTATTATTAATATATATTAATCATATCCACATGATACAACTCTATTTTATTATTAATTAAAGCTTAATCCAAATACTTTTTTAGAATGATCATTTATTGTTTATTAACAGAACCATTCATTCTTATTTATCCAAAATTTAATAGTACAATCATCACTTCCTGATATTATCAAATCTTCATTAGTATTTATTATTAAACATTAGATAATATCATTATGTTCATTTAATATTTATTAATAACTCCATAAATTATTTTAATTCTATTTCCATATTATTATCGATTTATCACAACTTCCTGATATAAACTATTTAGATATCTGCATGAAGTTTAAAGTAGTCACCTAATCCTTATGTTAATTAAAAGTTTAAATTAATTTGATCATTCCTTAGTTGAATTCAAATACTTTAATTAGTGAATGACATCCAGCCATCAATGTTGAACAATCTGTATCAATAGCTAAAGCTAAACACTTATCACTTTATGAAATTGAACATTCTTGGATTAATTAATAATCGAAAGGTTTGACATTCAATTGATTACTAGATTAATTAGTTTCTGATGGTGGAATATTCGTTTTAGTATTTACTGATTATATTTATGATTTAATATTGTTTATTATAACATTAATTATATTTTAATATTACTTAATTATAATAATAGGTTAATATGTTTTATTGTAACATTAATAATATTTTAATAGTACAAAAATATATTTAGGATTTATTTAATTATTTATTTATTTATTAGTCCTTTTAGGGTTGGGTTTGGGTTTGGGTTTGGG